GTAAAGTGAGCTAATATGGCAAGTACAGCATTTTTAGCCGTCCAACCATCAAACTCTGAGGTGATGTTGGGATTCTTGTCTGAAACAGTTGAAACTTTAGATTTTTTTTCTTTTGTCCAAGAACACATTCCCATCCTTCCAGGTGACTGGATCAGATAATATTATTTCTGAAGGTTCAGCTAATCAAAGTCTCCTATTGAGTTTCAAATCCTCTTTGCTGGTGGGGTTTCCGGAGTCAGATTAGGACTAGACAAAATGTGACCGAGCAGTCATCCCAGCACCAAGACCGCTCTGTAAGACACATATGGGTACAGATATGGGTCTTTCACTTGCGGTGCCTGTGTGTATGTATCAGTGTACAAGCTGCAAAGAAGCCCCGGTGTGAGCATCAGCCGACACGGGGATAAGAAACTAAAGCTGTGATACCTGCTGCTCTGAGTTATGGGCAGAGAAAGTGTCAAGAACCTCAGTGTGTTTCAGCTGCAGCGCAAAACCTTTGTTCTTGGTATTTAACTTCCATTGCCTGTGTGTGTGTGTGCGTGCGCTCTCAATCCGGAGTAAAGCGCATAGTGAGAGCAAACTTTGTGTCGACGTCTTTGCATGAAATACTGAACATGCTTCTGCTTTGACTAAGAAGGTCTGCAATCTAATCTAGTCAGTGTAGCCAAATCACTGTGGCGTCTCTGTTTGCACTGCTGCACTATAGCTCCTCTGTGTATTGCAAACACAGACAGCTGCAACGTTTTTGGCAGAGCACACATAGATTTCTATTGCTGACCCCTAAGGCTGCTTCTTAGAATGCAGTGCACCTCCCCCACTAACAACCACGATCACTTTAGTTTTTTTTTTTTTTTTCTCTTTTCCGTCTTATTATACTTATTTGCACTTGCTCGATGCATTAAACATTGGAAAGAAATGCTTAGAGCAAATTAATTGTTAACTACATGCAAAACTCGCACTTACTAAAATCTGTCAAAAACAAATATGGATTTACAGAAAAAAAAAAAATCCTACATTTTGGGTCAACGTGAGTGCATGTAAATGTGCAGATTTACACGAACAGATTTATTTTTTTAATTCGACCATGATATTAACAGCTATTTGCACAATAAATAATTGTTCCAAGAAAGTTATACCAGACTATATTATATAAATGAAGTCTAAACTTAGAAATGTGCACTGGAAAAGTTACAGCACTCCTGTAAATTAGGCTGAGTTACGATCCGTTTAAGAATTAGCTTTTAAAGTGAACAAAATGTCCGTCCGTCTGTCCGTCCATCTAAGCTCATTTGGGATTAGGCACGTTCAAGAAATCCAGACCTCCAACTCTTCATCTTTTATTGCGAGATTTCAAATATGTATAGCCCCTCTAGCATGTTCTGGTTCCGCCTCGGGGGTCTCATCCCAAATAGGCGTGCACGAAAAGCCAATTATTGTGAAGTCAAAGGAAAATCATACATTTTCCTTTTTTTTCTTTTTTTGTGAATAAGAATATGAATAGTGTGGTTCATGTGTTTATTGAACCTCCATGAATCAATACGTTTAAATCTTCCTTCATTGGATTTAGGTCTGGACTTCAACTTGGCCATCCCATCATGCACAGAGCCTGTAATGGATTTTTGTTTTTCCATCTATTAATTTGATGGATCTTTCCATTAAGTCTGACCCTTTCATCTTTTAATCGGAAATGTACAACATAAAACTGCCACCACTTTGTCTGGTGAGTTCAGGGTGATGTGCAGTTTGTTTTTCTGCTATGTAGATCCTTGTAGGCCAAAAAGTTCACATTTGATCTCTTCTGACCAGAGCACATTCCTCCATTTTTGCAGTATCTCTCATATAGTTTGTGGCAAATTTAAAATCAGACTGTTTATGGTTAACTGTCTCCTTGTTGGTCATCCACTAGGCCATGTGTCGCGTACAGAATTAGTAGATGTTTTGAGAAGAAATGAATGTGGTTGAGGAGTACGAGTACCTTGGCGTTACCAACAGACTGAAACAGAGATGCAACAGTGAAGCTGGAGAGGTTGCCAGTCTACCTTTGAGCAACATAGAATTACGCAACCATGCACATACACGCACTCATACCTAAGGGAAATTCAGTGAGACAGATTAATGTAACGGTCACATTTTTTGTGTACCTAAGGATAATCTATGCATGCATAGGGATTACATGCAAAGTCCATGCAGAAAGACCCTAGACTGGGATTTGAACCTTCTTGACGCATGGCAACATTGCCACCAACTGTGTCACTGTGCAGCCCATATGTTGCCTTATTTGATCAAATCCTATTAAAAAACAATTAACTTTTGTGCCTGACATAATGGGGAAAATTCAAGTAGTGTAAAACCTTTTGTAAAGCACTTTATAACAACTTTGATGGCTTATTCATTTATCTTGAAAGTATAAAGTACATAATGGGAAGACCAGTTCACTGCTTGATCCTAATTCATTACATGACCTCAGAAAGTGAGAGTTTTGTCTTGTTGGTAAGTGTTTTGGACCTTAACTACATGAGTTAAGAGTTGCTGATTCAGGTGTGCTGTAAAGAAATTCACTGCCGATGTAATAATCACTACCATGCATTGTTCTGTGATCCTCGTTCTATTTGCCTACAAAGTAATAATAAGAGACCAAGAGAAATTCTGCCTTGTTAGTTGAATGGCAGCATTGATGTAACAGACCAGATACCTGCTGAGGAGATGGCCAGACTGAAAGCATAGAGGCTTTTCTCTCATTGATTTGTGTTGTACATCTGCTTTGTTCTGCTCATGAGGGTCAGGATGAGAGGCGTGCTGCATACCCTCGACAGGTTGCCAGTCCATTATCAAGCCAGCACAGAGAAACACAAGACTAACGACCATGTCCATTCATGCTTGTGCACGCTGTCCATGTAGGATCCGCTACTAATTTAACATTTCTGTTGTTCTGGACCAGAGTACCTGGAGAAAACCCACACATGCTCAAAGAGAACATGCAAAGTCAAGATTCAAACCCAACACCTGAGGCATCAGGAAGGCTCCTCACAATGCGATTTGGTGTAGTCTAGCAGTTGGCACAGTTTTATCAACCTTCACCTCATGTGATTCAAAAGAGGAAAAAAAATGATGTTACATAGTAGTGTTAGTCACTTAGACAATCTGTTCTTTTTGTTTTTGGACAAAATGAAGAGGAGCCCCTGATAACAGCAAGCTTGAAATGCTTTGACTTCTCATTAGCACACTGTATTGGCTGGAGCAATGATGCCTGTCATATTTCATAGTGGATCATTTCATTTGTTTCCTCCACCCTAGACTATTATGCAGACCATAGCTAACTGCTACCGTCATGGACAGCTGTTATCCTCTTCAAATGGAACATGCCCGGCTTTCAATGCACAAAAAGTTATCTATTTTGGCTGCTTATTCTGTTCTTGGTGTTATTTGCTCACATTGTCATCTAATGTACATACAGTTCTTTGCCATTGCATTCATATTGCTTACATTTTTGCATGTTACAATCACAGATCCTTTTGTGTTTTATTGCAATTTTTATGTGATAGATGGACACGGAAAGGGACATTTCTTTGTCCATGTTTACTTGCAAAGAAAAATGTGTGGTTGCAATATGTAGTGAGCTCCTAAGGCAATTTTCTTCTTTGCTGAAGACCAAAAAGCATACTCACAGCTGATTCCGCCACTCCCTCTTTTACAATTTATATGGTGGGTTCAGTGTGATATGCTCTGTTTTTTTGGGGTTTTTTTCTGCCACATATTTTGATTTCATCTGACCATTTCATCATCTTCAATATGTTTGCTGTTCCACTTACATGTGGAAAATTAGAAACAGACATTTTAATTTTTAATGGCTTTTTTTTTTCATAATTCATTTTTTCTTGCCGTTCTTCCTAGAACGGCGACAGCAACTGTCAGTAGCTCCTCCTACCCGAGTTGTCAATCTTTGTAGCTCCTACAGAGTTAGTAGCAATAATTTTCTGATAATTTATTTTACCAACATTCCCTGACAAACGTTAAAGATGTTGAAAAAATTACTGTATTTACACTGAGATGGATAAAATAACACCTGAATTCAGTCACTTGCCACTGAAAACAGACACCAAAATGCCTGCTTTTAATATAATAAAATACCAAAGAAAGTTCAAGGGGTCTAAGTTAATATGTCAAATATTAGCATATATACAAGTTTATTGTACAAAGCGAAAGAACAAATTTCATTGCAAACATTCCTTTTATTTTTTTTAATGCACTAAATTTGTCAACTTGCGTGCGTGTGTGTGTGTATGCTCTTTAGTGTTGGTGTTGTTGTCCCAGGCTAATTGAGCAATTCGATTGTGGGAGCAGTAGTGTTTAAGGTCATGGAGCAGCGTGCTCCCATGGCTCTGTCAGAAAGATGCTGCTTTCATAATTACTCTGCTTTTATCTGTAGCGCAGCTAAAATGACTTCTAGACAAATGCACACAGAAAGCACAAACAAGCTCGAATACTGAAGAGTGAAATATTTAGATATTGCAAACTAACGCCCACGTTCAGCTGCATGCCTGAACAATTGCTTGCACACTAACACTTCCCCAACAATTTAAAGTCCTTTAATTTTATAGATGAGGCATTTTTGAAACCTCTTTCATGAACAATTGAATTCAGTCATGCATGATGAGAATGCCTGTTGGGTCTTTCTGTCTGCACATATTCGCGTGTAGGCGACTGTATTTTATCAGACCGAGCAGCTTTTATCGCCGAACAACAATTTTAGATTAGATGTGATTGCTTGGTTCACATAACACATGCAACACTTTCATTTCTCAGCTACTTGAATGCTGATCCAAAACCAGTGGCCCAGTGTGGGTATTTGCACAGGCACGCATATGTCACTTTCAGTATCTGTGTGTGCGTGCGCGCACATGCACGCTTGCATGTTTGTGTGCATGTGCTTGCATGCCTGACTGCACATGTAACTTGAACAAACGCCAACACTGGTGGCCCTGTCTGTTTGTTTCACGCAGACGTTCTGTGAATGTGTGCCCAGCTCCTCTCAACTCAAACATCGCTGGTCAGACTCAGAAACCGCCAGGGAGACTCCGGCCAAGGTAAGGCCCAGTCTCCACGTCGCACATAGTTCTGGTTGGAAAGCTACATATATTTATTATGGACATGAATATTGAACACAGTTCGGGCTTAGAATCATGTATCTCTTTAATTGTGGCATGATTGCACACGAAATGGCTTCAACATGCTTGCACAGGTTTGAACTTACCACAATTTATAAATATATGTGTGTGTGTGTGTGTGTAATTTAATTTGGATGCCCGTTTTGAAACCTACACATTGACTATAGTTTTTGTAGCCATTGATGATATCAGTTCAGTTTGGACTAAACAAATCAAGTTTCTGAAATTACTCTTTGTTAAAAAATGGCAGACTATGCTTAAAAGCCAAGTCCATACCAGCAAACTGAAACAAAATTGGATTAGATTATTAATTTAAGTTAATTATGGCTATTGATTGATGACAACAATTGTGTGATTAAAGGTACTATTCAACATTTAAAAATATACCTCTACAATTATTCAAATCCATCATTTCGGCTGAGTTATAGTTGAACATTTATTCTGCACGCATATGTTGGTGCAGTATTCTCCAAAAATGAAAACTCATACAGGGATTTTTATCAATACTCGTACAGATGAACCTGCTCTGCAAGAATAACTTTTAAATCAGCCGTTTTAATAACACAACATACATAACATACAAAAGGTGTGTGACTTGCAGGGGTGAGGACGGCACAATTGGCACACACACCTTTTTGTCCACTTCAGTGTCTTGGTTGACTATAAAACTAGCTTTAAAGGCTCATGGTATTGTGACATTCTTGCCCTTGGTGAGCGACTTTTAGTGACTGTTTTTATTAAGGATCTTACGGAACATAAGCTATTATGTTCTGTAAGTTCTCAGAGAAAACCAAACATGAATTTAAAAAAAATAAGCATATCGTTTGAGAAGCTGGAATGAGAAAATGTTTGATATATCTTTAAAGGGAAAGATTAAGGTAGAAAAAAAAAAAAAACATCAAGTAAACTTGTTCTCAACCCTGCAATGTTGTGTTTATGCTTGCATTCAAACAGATGCAGCATGATGTGGAATGAATCCCTTCATTGTTCCATGTATTCTTTTTTTATTGTTGGCGTATATTCCTCCCCTTTCCTTCCAGTAAAAAAAGGAGGCACTCAATGAAAAGTGACTGGCTCAGGTGCAGGGGAGATTAGCTATCACTGACAATTGGTTCTCATCACAATCCGCTTCCTGGCTGCATGCCGGCAGTGTGAAGGATTATTTCATATTACACTTTACATTTTGTCAGTGAGCAGCGGCGGTGACGTGACCTCAGGTTGAGTACTCAGATACATACAGGCATTAGATGGATAAGGCCCTGCAGATTTCCTGAACTCTGTGATGGGATGGGAGGAAGAAAAGGGGATTTGATTATATGAGAGATTTGGCGACAAGTGTGTGTTGAATGCAAATGTAAAAGTGTATGTTAAAATGCAGGCACATGAAAACTGGAGGAAAAACTCCCTTTTACGAGTTTAATGTTTGAATATGTGTAACTTCCTTCACAGTTTGAAGAAAATCTCCATATTTTTCTGAATGGTTTGTTTTTTGGTTTTGTGTATTTGGGCAAAATTTTGTGTCTTGCCAAAGTTTTCACACCTAGAATCTTTTCCCAGTTTTCCCAGTTACATCATTGTATAATCAACCTTATTCAATGCAATTTGCAGTCTGCTTAAATGTGACCAGTTGTTGTCACTGCTGAAAAAAGTAAAGATGTGAAATTCATCATTTAGCTACTTGCTACTTTATCGTATCACCATCTTTTTCTAATGTATTTATTTTTTTCTAATATATGTTAGAATATGCTGACTGAATGTAAATTAAATTATTAGCTGTATTAGTCACAAAAACAATTCATGCTGCCAGTTTCACTTAATGTTTCGAGCATTCTCCATGCAGAGGTGAGTGAAGTATGTGGATGGCCTGAGTTATTACCGAGTCATTCCTACCGTAGTTGAGTCCAAGTTGTATTGTTTCTGTATTTCTGGTGGACATGTTTGATATACATAAGTGTGTGGGAACTGTGATGCTGCCATTTTTAACATGCCAAATAAACCAAAGCCAGCGATCCGATATATATTGTGATTGAATAGGTTTTTTTCACATTGTCAAATCTTAAGTGACGGTGATGTTATTTTTCTGTCAAATGATGTCTTCCTATGCCATTGATGTTTAAAGGACAAGTGCACAATGACGTGACAGAGATAATATAGACAGCTTGTATTATGTTCCTTTCAGTTCACAATTATACTGAAATTACATAAAATCCAGATAAAAAAAATAATTCAGTTTGTGGCTAAAACATAAAAACAAATGGGTCAAAACTTCTTTAAGGTACACTAGAAAAACTAACTGGTAAAAGCTTCTTTTGTGCCACTTTAAAGTCTTTTATCTAACAAAGGTCTGCCAGTTCTCATGTGTGACGGGATGAGTCATTTCCATAGAGATTAATTTTCTCTGATTCTCCTTTTTCAAGAACTGTCCATCAGAATCCCCCAGCTATCCCCACAAATCCCTCTGAGACCAGAGGAAATCTGAAAGTCAACTACTAATTACAGACTGGCCTAATGCAGCAGGAGACATTTTTAAAAAGTAACAAAGAAAAATCTGTGTTAAGAGCTTTTCTGTATCACAGTCTCTGTCATTACTGAGCAGCTCTGAAGAAGAGTTTAGACACCATGTATTCTGTGGGGACATGAAGCTTCCTGCTGCTGCATGTTATTTTTCCATTGACCATCAAACTGATAAGGCAGCAGAAAAATTGTGTGCTTCTTGCGCTTTTCCATTTCGTTGTTTGACTTCATGTCAATCTGCGTTCGCAATAAAAACCCCACAATAGTCAATCTCTTCAAACTCCTGCATCATGTCACCTTTACGCTCAGACCAGTTTCCAACCATTTCATTTGTTACAATTTTGGATATCATGTAAATTTACTATGAATGAATAATTAATGAGCTTAGTTTCTTTTCAAAGATTTTTCACCCATAAAAGTCATCCCTGAAGTCATATTTGAAAGCTTCCTATTATGCGTTTTAATTACATTTTACTGATGTGTGACCTCCAGCAGCATTGCAGCACCCTGACATAATCCATCTCGGTAAATACCTCATAAAATAACCAAAGTATTTTCAAGCAGGGTTTCTCTGCAAAGAGAGAATGTGAGATGAAGTTAGAGTCAGAGACTCAGTATTTGGTGGATGCCTGGGTCAACAAAACACTTGGTTTGAAGACATGGGTGCACTGTTTGGGCTAATTAGGAGTGTGTGGTACAGCGTGTGAACGAAGATGCAGTGTAGCACAGAAGATGGGGAAAAAGAGAGAGGAGATAACAGAGAAAAGTTGCTTAGTGTAAAAATAAGGCTATGTTTTAGCTGAAAGCAAAAGCACTGAAAATGCAGGGTGATAAACTAAATGGGAACTGACATGGAAAAAAAAAGAGGTGAAATAAGGAGGACAAAAAGTGACAACGCAACTGAAAAGGAGACGAAGTAAACTTGGAGCCGATACAAAAATGGTGCCATTTCATCGACTTCAAAGGTCAAAGGGTGAAGTCTTGGATTCACATCTTGCTAGAAGTGTAAAAAAAAAAGATTTCTGGCAGAAAATATTGCAATTAAAATGATATATTTTGGAGCCACTTCCACAATGTGGGGGTCGGATGGACTACCTACCGAGCTCACCACAAATTCTAAATTAAGGCATAAGACATAAGATTTTTTTTTATTTGTCATTATGTTTCTCGACCAGAACAAAATTGCAGTGGTACTCTGTGATAAATTCGATTCACTGTGGGGAAAAAAATGCTGTATAATAAGGCATTGTTGAGCAGTAGCTGTCATGATTCAATATTCTAAAAATGGAGATGTCAGCAATGCAAGCCTCTTACTGTTAGGACACCTAAGACGTTTATCTTTTTTCATGTTAGCAGTCGGTATACTGGTAATGAATATTCAGTGATGGGTTCCACTAATGTCTTGGCCTGCTGGCAACAGAGCTCTTGGAAACTGTTTTAATGTTATATTGCTGTCGTTCTGCAGACTGCGCATAATGTATACCGTGGCTATGCTGATACACGTACAAATATTTAAAATCTCGGAGCTGCTACGGGTTTAAAATGCATGCTGAGATTTCTTCATGATGTCGCGGTTCACATGTAAAGTGAGATCTGGGAACCAAAGGGTGCCATGTTCAACTAATTCCCGCTGTCTGATGATTTGTTGGGGTTTGAAAAAGCGTTGGTATATTTCTTTTTGTTCAGCGTGTGTGTCTGCTGACTGGTTCTGATACAAGTGTTTGGCAGGGAGTACATGTTCTGATTGTGCTCGTACATAAAACACCAGACATTTAAATTGAGTGGGCAACACAGGTGCATCGACGCAGTGCAGGGTTTGTTTTATTTGCATGTACTGAATATCATTAGTCAAGAGTAACATAACTTTCAGAAAGATGAAATATGATTTACCATTCTGGTTAGAAATTTACATACCATGAACGAGCATGAGTTTTCTAGTATAATTCAACTTTTAATGACATGTTTCAAATGTTCTACATTCAGGCTGAAAATATTTTTCACCAATCTGTGATATTTTAAACAAGATTTATGTGCATAAGTTTATTGGATTTTTTTTTCTTGTTCAGATCCAAAGCTGTGTATACAGGCTGGGATTATATACATACATGTCCACCAATATTTAGATAATAAATGCTTCTTAGCAAGTTCCAGGAAAAAATAATTTTTTAGCAATTCACAAGAATCTGGTTCATTGGAAAATGGTGGTGTAGCTATCTATGGAGGGATGTGGAGTCTGTGAAAAGCCACTTGTAACTTATGTTTTTGCCTCAGATCTGATGTCTATCCAGTCCGATGTCGATGAGTTTGTCGTGGATTAGATGCGCCAGGAAAAGACAAAACAAACATAAAAATACACCAAGGTGCCCACAAGCCGACGCGTCTGTACTCACCGCCATAACCGATGACTTTTTGGTTTGACTGTAATGCTTTGGTAAAGTTTTTGGTAAACCCAAAGGAAATGTTGCCACATGAAGAGTAAAGAATGCATTTTTTCTACATTAATTTGAGTTTTTATGGTTATTAAATGGGAAAGATCTAAAGAACAAAAATGCCAATACTGGTGTCTATCAAAGAAGAATAAATACTTTTTGCCTCCACCATGATGTCTTGCAACTTTTGTTTTTATGGATTTAGGCTTTTGTGGAAAAAGTATGTTTGGGTCATTTAATCTGCTACTCTGCAGCTTTTTGTTTATTTTGCAAAGTGGGCTAGAATCCATATTCTTGCTCTTTGCTCTCATCCTTTCAACTCTACAGTCTTGTTTTTCCTTTTTTTCCCCATAGTGTTCTCGTATTTAGTTTCTTGCTTTTGGCAATGAAATCTTGCCTGTGCCACTGGCTGTAAAACTAGCATGATCTAGTGTAAACTCCTTTGGGCTTTAAAATAGGACACGGCTGTTTTTTATTCAAGTCTGCGTCTCAAGTCATGTCTGCAACCATAGCTGTTTTAACAGTGGTCTTAAAAAATACATTTTCTGAAATGCAATAATTTATTTTTATTTTTTTATTTTTTTGAGAACTGAAGGGTCGTATAACTTAGCAGATTTTTCTAAAGATTTCTGTTTAATTTTTCTGAATGTCTGGAAGCATCTTTCTCTTAATGTATTTGTTTTCTCTCCACATTGCATGGCCTGCACTAATCCTGCTACCTGCTCTTTATTTAATTTAATTAATCTTTATTAAATTGTGACCTGAAAAAAAGCCTCTATCAGAAAATGTTTTTTGCTCAAATGTCGAAAAGACTTTCTCATCTTTAATTCTTCCAATTGATTCTGGCCTGTGGCACTGTGATAAAATGAATAAATATTAAAATATCTTGTTTAAAATACTTACGTAAAATAGTCCTAATTAGTTTTTCATGCGTTTTATGAGTTATTTTAACACATCACACTCAGAAGGGTATCACACATGATGAAGTTTCTCCAAACCTAATCTTTTACCACCAGTTTGGGTATTGAATAAACCCCTATGCCTACTGATGGAGCATTATGCTTGTTCAGGCCACATGACCTCCTTTTGGTGCAACATATAGGCTTCATGGTTGGTCTAAGGAGAGCTTTAAAATGGGCTTGATTTGTTAGGAAAACACCCCCACATGTCATGGGTTTTTACATCTTTTTATGATCCGTGCCCACAGACTGTGTGTAAACAAAGTTCAGCAGGAACTTCCCCTGCTGAGGATAATTGATTCTCTTAACTTTAAAGGAATCATAAAGCTCTTTCGTAAAGCAGACCGTTAGTCCTCTATTAGCCGGGGTTCAGTGTGCTTCCGCAGCCAATTTCCATATTAATGTAGTCGCTCTCATGCTCTCGTAAAAATAGAAAACAAACATGCTTGCATGCATCAGCCCACATATTTTCATATGGGACATCCTCTGGTGTGGAAAAAGAAACGGCAAAAAGACCAATTCCTGATTCATTATGAGGAAGATGTGGGGGAGTTGCGCATTGTTTATCATGCATAATGGGCTCTTGTGCTAGTCTATCTGTTCCTATTTCTCCTGATGTGGGTGAAAAATTTAACTGTGACTTTATTCTGCTCCCTATAATTTATTTAATGCCGGCTTTGTTTACAGTTTGGCTTTTGTCAGACGAGGATTCTGCGATTTGGTTGTTCAGCTACAACCTTCCTGAGCCTCATTTTCACCTTAATAAAGGGTTTCCGTTTTATAGTAGCCTGCAAAAGTGTTCAGAGTTTATGTATTTTTTGCGATTGTATGTGTGTGTGTTTGTAAAAATTGTCTTCCTCTCCTCAATTATCTCCCACCTGAACTCAAGTTTCAGTCTAGTTGTGGTCCGTGTTCGTTGGATCATCGAAAAAATGAATAAATCGAGGGCTGTGGTTTTAATGCGACAAAAACAGAAAATTGTCAGTTTTGGCATTTCGTCTCGCATCTGAAAACATGGATGCTGACTAGAACAGTTTTTCCCACGTCTTAAACCGTCATCGATTTTTCAATTTGCACTTCGCAAGAGCAAATTTGATGGCATGTGATGCATCTAGACAAAAAAAAACATATCTGAAAAGCTTCTTTTTAGAGATGTTAAACTCTGATTGAGACTACAACAAAAGCAGTAGCTGAAGGACTCGACATTATTTCACCAGACAAATGTAAAAAATTTTTAGCCTTTGTGAAACTCATTTCATAGAGGTTTGGAATTTGATTATTCTGAGTGAGCATCTTTGCAACGGTGGATGAAAGTCATCTCTTTTTTTTTGTTTTTTAAAAAAGCACTTCTTATGATTTAATATTTTTGTATTGTCCTAACATTCTTTTCTTGTCTCTCCTTCTTCCAGAGGATGAGCTGCAGCTACCTGCTCTGCACCATCCTGCTCTTCGTGGCCGTGCTGTTGGCCGTCACCGTAACCGGCACCATCCTTTTCATGAACCACTACCAGGCCCCGCCCATGTCTGACGGCCTACCCCACATTTCCACCAATCAGGATGAAGCAAACGCGCTGGTCACCGTGGAGAGGGGCGACGGCTCTCGTATCAACATCTTCATCGACCCCAACTGTCCCGACTATAACAGCAACTTCATGAGGCTGGAGGGTGTGCAGACCTCACTGCTCCACTCGCTGACTGACCACGACTCTGACCTGAAGTCGGTCAAAGGTCAGGACAGGGCCCTGCTGGTCAGTCTGGCCGAGGAGGTGGCCAAGCTGTCAGCCCATGCGGGACAGCTGAAGATGGACTACGAGTCTCTGCGCCGGGGGCAGAGCAGCCTTGGTCAGGACCTGAATACGCTACAGACAGAACAAGGACGCCTCATACAGGTAGGACACCTGTACACCAGAGAAGGAAACACTCTGTAGATTCAACTTAGATCTATACACTAAAGAAAACAAAATTAAAAAAAATAAGTGTATTCATGTTGCCTTGCAGCAAGAAGGTCCTGGTTCAAATCCCAGCTCGAATAGAGTTTGCATGATTCCCCTGCTGTGGGAACTCTGGGTTCCTCCCACAGTCCAAAAACATGACTTGTTAGGTAAATTGATCTTTCTAAGTTCCCCTTCAGTATAAGTGTGTGTGTGCATTGTTGCTGGTCTGGTGTGTCTCTGTGATCTGACCAGTGACCACTGGAGATGGGCACCAGCTCCCCCACTGACCCTGCTAGGATGTGTGAGATTGGACGGAAAATGTTAAGTCCTTCAATCCATATTTATTTTTTGCTTTATCTTCCTACACGCTGCAGGAAAAATAGTGCCTATTTACTTCATGGATACTTACATTTTATTTTTGAGGATAAGTCACAGACGGACACTTCATAGATCGTTATTTGAGAAAAATGTTTTTTTTGTTTTTTTTTTTAGAAATAAACAGAGTTATTTTTATATTTATTTTGCTTCTGCTGCCCTTGTCCTTTGTAGTGACTGCTGATAAAAAAAAAAAAACTGAAGTTACCACTAACCATTCTCAGCTCAATTCAATTCTTTAAGTACTATACAGAGGTGCTCTGACTTGCGGGATGTGAAATGCTTATTGATGCATATTGATTGTGAGGCCACCTTAAGATGTGTGACAGCCTATTGCTCTGGAGCATTTTCTGTGGGTTTATTTGCCTTCCTTTCTCCTCCCTGCAAACTCAAAACGTGATCGTTCCCTGAGTCAATGCCAAGTCGAGCCTGTCCGTTCCGTTTCACACCGTGATTGACCGGCTGCAACGAAATTAAAGCACAAATAGAGCTCATGTTTCTCTGGGCTCGTGTTCCTCTTAATGTAACTCTCCCGGCCTTGCAGTCGAAGGGGGAAAGTCACTGGGGAAGAAATGTCCATCATGTTTGAAGAAAACCCTACAACTCGCGCACTAATTAGGTAAGATAACATAATGCTTCCCGAGATGGATGCAGTCGTAATTAAAGCCCCTTTAGTTTTGCACTGTCCAGACTGATTTATTGATGACACATATCCTGAATGTCTGTGGTGATTTTTTTCATGCTACATGCTCCTTTAATCCTGTCATGTCAGCTAAGGCCTGCGCTCTGTCATAAATAGATAGAATGGTGTAGGTGGCACCTTGCTGCCAGCCGTGCATCTGAAGCAATTGAATTCATTTGCCAGTCATTTCTTAAAGCCAGAGCTTTTTAATCAATTCATGTAGAAAAGCTTAAAGCCTGGTTTGTTGGCAAACGAGTGTTTGTAGACCGAGCGGTAAAAGCAGTGAGCGACTTTTAATTTGTGGAATGGTGCAGGTGGCACGGGGAAGTGGGCAGGGTGTGTTGAGGTGGCACCGGCAGCAGCTTAGATGCTCCAGGTGATTGATTTGCTCTGCGGAAGCGAGGCATGTGGTGCGCACATCCGCTGTTTCAGCTTGACACCATGGTGTGACTGTGTGATCTATGGGATACCTGTGGCCAAGGGTTCTGATTTATAGGATGACACACTGCTGAATGTGCTACGCACTGCAGCCCTCTTTCTTACAAAAACAAAAAACAAAACAAAAAAAAAAAACCCTCACCCTGCCTTGTAGGGATAAGCCCGTCCACATTCCCCTGAGGTGTGTAGGAGAATCTGATTGCAGTAGGTTTGGAGGAAAATGTGTTTTTATTATTTATAAACAGACATATTCATCTTTCATAGCAAGAGAAGTGTGCTGACATATTTGCGAATGGATAAATCACTCTGATAAAAAAAATGTTCCAGCTGAGGCTTGGATCTCAGAGTGATACACAAGGACAGCCATGTTTTTTTAAGACCAGTTGGTAATTTTGTTTACTTCATAAAGTTAAACCATAACGGTGCTAATTGACTGAAACATGTAAAATACCTCTTCCTTTTGTTTTGTGTTTACATTTTTTTAATACTCCATTGCTGCTTTACACCTTAACCTACCAAATTGCAATTGCGAAATTTCGATCCATAAATACTTGAGCTTTTATTGGTGAAGACTTTGAACTTATTTTTTAAATGAGTTATTATAAAATCAAAGTTCAAGCTGTTAATTGTTCTATTTGTGGTGTGTGTTACGTTCGTCACCCAAACGTGTGCCATTGTGTTGAATACAGATAAAGAACTAACAGCCTTGACTGTGAATGCAGCACTTAAGGTGGTATGTGTGTCTGTTAGACAGAAACTCTTTGTTGATTATTCTGAATTGAACTCTAATGACATTTACATCCATTGAAAGCTTTGCTAAACAGCAGATTGCAAGAGACATGACCTAAATCTCTTCAAATAGCGAATAAATAAATCCATACATTTTTCTTTAAATATGGTTATTTCTTTGTGTCATTTATAAACTCACTTAAAAGCTCCTTTTCAGTCTGATACAAACATATATCTTGGCTAATCCAATTACATTTTAAAACTTGGCAGCAAAATCATTGCTAGTAACTAGTTATGATCAGACTGACTTATAATGTTAGCTCAGAAATATTTTTATTAATTTAAAATAGCAGTTTACCTTTTTTTTAGTAAAGTATTTCTAAAAATGTTTATAGTTATTGTCATTCATGTTACAAATTTGGTTTATTTTTTTTGTGAAGAGTAAAAACAATACCCAAGTGAATGTGTGGTTCACTATTGTTAGGACTCATGTAACATCTAAAATTAGAGTAATGATACTGTAAACTTGCAAGTTAAGCTATTGAGCTAAACGCACCTTAATAGAGCAACATTATCCATTTATTCACTCAAATTTTATCATCTAAACAGGCATACATGTGAAACTGACCAGTTATCTGTGCTCTAATCTCAGTTCTTTGCTTCTCAACTTTTGCTGCAATGATGACCAAATAATATTGTTACTCAATTTCAGCCCATATATTTTGCAGCACTCTGTATGCACTGATAAAGATTTTTCCTCTCCGGATGCCGAAGTTAACACAAAATCTGCTCATTAAAAATAACCCTCCTAATGGTGCCTAGCATTGAATCGTACATCCTTCATTCCAGTACACATACACACACTCTGCAAAATTGGGATGCATCAAAATTGGGATGCATCAAAATCCATACTTGAAAGTCATGATGGGATTTGTTCCAAAAGTGTAAAACACATTTTTGACACCAACAGGCAAAACAGGAAACATTGTGGCAACAGTTTTGGTATCCATCAAAGTACCACTTAGTTTTTTAAGGTAAGTTTTCTTTTCTGATGGCTCTGCCAATGAGCAATCATGTCCTGTGCCCAAGCAATACTAAATTCATTTTAAAAAGGGGAGGAAACTGAGGTCTAAACTCGCCGAGAACCAACTTCTTTCTTCATTCTTTCATGATGTGAAGCGATGCACACAGTCTGACTGCAAAATCACTCCACAGAGGCAAAGGCTGCAAGGAGGAGCATGACTTACTGATTTCCTTGAACTGCAGGTCACAGTTTAAACTGAATAATGTGCCTGAGGATTATTAATGTTTTAAACAAGTGGCACTTGCAACCCCTGCTAAGGATCTGGGGGCAAACTGCTGGTATGCGAGAAAACCATATTGCCTCAAGACACTCATTCTTCCAGGCACAAGTCCTCTGTGCGCTTGCGAAAGTAAAATTGTGCTTGTTGCAAGGTCTCGGCCAAGGATATGATACAAACAACTTCAAAAGCTCAGTGGAAAAAAAAAAAAAAAAGGGGTAATAAGAAAGCTCAAATTTGTAAACATGAATGGGTGACTTCAAAGATTCAGTAGCTCTGGTCCGAAGGAAAAAATATATATCAAGACATAGTGAAAGTGTACATATATAGAGTAACAATCTATTACGAAATAATATAACAGGAACTACAAATCTTAATATTCTCACCACTATTATTTGCTCAGTTTATATTTTAGGTTATTTTCTATTTTTTTTAATTGTTTCTAATTGTATTGTCAAATTTATTTCATTTTGTTCTGTTTTACTTTTTTCTTTTTATTTACAGTTCAGATCAGGCATTGCCTTTATTTCCCAGTATGAAATATGATGACTTATAGGTTTCTTGATAGCCAATGCATTGCTTGTTTCATCTGCTTGGGATCTATGCATTTTGTCCCCAAGGTCCTCTGGGTACTCTGACTTTCTTCCACAGTCCAAAAACATAAATAACTGGCCCCTCTAAGTTGTCCTCATCAGTGAAAGTGTCCATGCGTGGCTGTTTGTTGGATGGATGAATAGATATTATGTGCTTTTGAATATGCCCAATATTACACTGTGACCTTTTTAATCAAAGCAAGAAGCCTTACACATGACGTGGACACTTACAAATCAGATTAGTAGGATTGTAAATCCCCAGACTGAAAATATATCCTTTCCTTCAGATGGTGTTCAGCTCACAGCCTGAAAGATGGGTGTAAAAGTGCAGAGGATGTATCACTGTTAATGGGAACCACAGCTCTGGGTAATAAGCTGCAGGCAAAGTTTTGTGTGAGTCTTGGGAAAAAAATGGAGTCTTGTGCGTACAGGGAGAGGCTGGGACATTTGTTTTCCACTGAATTAAAGAACATACTTTAAGATTTCTTGATCAGCATCTTAAAGTGATGGCAGAACAATTTCAATCATTCAAGGTCTGATCTCAGACCCGACATGTACTGTCGGATAGTCCAGCTGTGTGCTTATGTGAGGGTGGTGGACGGCTGAACATTGGCTCCACATACAAACCGAGTCGAACACAAAGCAGCTATGTCCAATTATGGGAGGAGCAAATTAAAAGTGCAAATTGCAGTGTAAAAATTTCAGAGTCGAATTTAAATGTCAAAATTGAAGGCAGCATGCGTGGAGCATTCTAATGAAGGGGATTAATGTATAGAGTAATTTCTTTCTCTTCTTTCTCTCTAAAGCCCTTTTTAATCTGCTTCCATGCTGTCACGT